CTCGGGAGGTGCCTCCTCTTTGAGCTTGTTGGGAGGTATGTGAGCCTGTTGGAAGGCGTTTTCTTTAGGTCCTGTCGGGAGGCGTTTCTCCTCCAGCCTATTAGGGGGTGTGTGAGCCTATCGACAGGTGTTTTGATGATGGCGATATGCTTGTGAAAAGCGAGATTGGGCTTTTCGCCTTAGTGGAAGATGCATTCCCGTGAGATGAGCATCTCATGGAGGCGAAATATACTCGACGAGAGTGTCGTTGTGAGGTGGAACATTCCCCGAAGGGCGCGTCGCTGGGAGGCGATTTTCGGGCCTTGCCCGGAGGTGGAAGGCACGAATCGTGCCTAGAGGGAGGGTCGCTCATCGGCGAAATCATCGCTCAAAGGGAGTATCGCTCGGGGGCGGTTTTTGGGCCTTGCCCCGAAGGCGGAAGGCGTGAATCGTTCCCGGAGGGAGCATCGCTCAAAGGGAGTATCGCTCGGGGGCGGTTTTTGGGCCTTGCCCCGAAGGCGGAAGGCGTGAATCGTTCCCGGAGGGAGCATCGCTCAAAGGGAGTATCGCTCGGGGGCGGTTTTTGGGCCTTGCCCCGAAGGCGGAAGGCGTGAATCGTTCCCGGAGGGAGCATCACTCATTCGCCGAAAGGAGCATTGCTCGGAGGCGAATTTTGGACCGTGCCCGGGGGCTTGAAGCATGGCACTTGAGATATATTTTTGTACAAAATATTTACCTTTGTGATTTGCCGTAGGAAAGGTAAGAGTCAAATTCCGAGTGCTACAAATCATTTGTACAAGACCTCACTGTAGCATACTGGTGAGCACCGTTCATCTTATCGAGTTAGGACTCGCATCCAAATCCTGGCATAGGCACTTCGTTTTTTGTATAGAAGGCTTGTTGCTGGGCAGGAGGATGGAGGGGGTTTACGTTGTCGACTTGGAGAGGGTTATGCTGTGCCCGCACAATGGGCCTCTACGTGGGTGCCGTTGGCCGGGCGGGTCGTGATTGTATGTGAGACCACGTTCGCAGAAGAGGTTGCGATTCTTGACATAGATATGGGGTTGCACCTGGTATGAGGTGCGCCTAGTGAGACAGGTTTACTGAAGGCAAGTCTTATTTTCAGCCTACCGGGAGGCGCTCCTTTTTTCAGCCTATCGGGAGGCCTGTCTACTTTTAGCCTATCGGGAGGCGTTTCTTCCTGGTCTATCGAGAGACATTCTGTCTTTCAGCCTTCTGGGAGGCGTGTTTTCCCTTAGCCTATCGGGAGGCGTTTATCTCATGACTTTGCGGGAAGCGCTGTGGAGTCTTTGAACAAACAGAGAGCTTAGCCTAGGAGGCATGAAATATGATTAGTATGCGGTTCCACGTTCGAAGTGGCCATGGAAGACGGGGGTGATGACGCAGATGGGTATGATACACGCGACCAGACTTATCTTGTGTCGACGCACCGCCATGTGGGAGACGGGGGTCGGGTGGTGTCTTCGGATGCGTTTGCGCGGGCTTGCGTCCTAAGGCAGGCCGGACGATTTGCACGGTTGGCGGACTCGAGTTGAGGATTTGGAGTGCGGGCCGGACAGAGGTGGGCCCATGTGATGCGGGACTGGACCCTTGGCGTGCATAATGTACAGAGCGTGATGGACCGCATTGGAATCTTGGATGCGGTGCGTTGGTGATGCCAGGTTAGACGCACACATGACATTTTTGCCCCTTTGCTTCTTGTATTCTGTAAGAATGGAAGGAGTAAAATAATGCGTTAAGGTGCATTAACTTGCCTTACTTGCGAGTCCGCACGATGCGGTTTTGCCCCTTGTGCGACCATTGCTTGGTGATGGATGCCCCTGGTGATGGACGCCTCCCGATGGTTGAGACGCCTCTCGGTGATGGACGCCTCCGGGTGATAGGATGTCTCCCGGTGATGGGCGCCCACGAGTGGACTGGACCCTTGCGGGTCCAAACGATGCGGTTTGCCCCTTGTGCGACCATCGTCTTTGCTTCTTCGCTTAGCATTCGATGTCTTGAGTTAGAGCTCTCAAGTCGTTTGAGATTTCCCCACTAGCCCATTGCTGAGCGTGCTAATATGTAGACCGTAACTGTAAGCTGTGTGCGTTAAGCTGTGTGCGTTTTGCGTGGAGGGATAGCACGGGATGTAGATCATGTGATGCGGTTTTACATCTGCGAAGGATGTGAGTGACAAACATAAGCATAGCATGCGTGAAATATGTCATAGCATGGGATGTAGTGAGAAAACATCATTGTGTGCTATTGGGAGCGGTCTGCATGGCATAGTATTTGAATATATCATAGAAGGAAGTACTTAGCTTGAGAATAAGCGGTAGAAGACAGCTGGGAAGCGGTTTAAGTAAGACGAGTCGCTTTCTGATCCTCAAGGCGGTCTTGTGGCAGACTGGTAATTGCCCCTGCCTTTTGGACTTTCGGACGAAGGGGTCCGCGTGCGAGACGGATCGCGTTGATGAGGGAGGCGACCCATCGACGATGGATAGGATCGCCTTGGAGATGAGAAGATGTTGTCGCCAGCCAGTTGGCGTTCTTGTATCCTAATTAATGCGGGTTCGAATCTTGGCCAGGAAATTCCTTATTTTTTATTTCGTTAAGAATGAAGTCTGCTCAACTAAATGAGTAGCGCCTCGGACTCCACTGTGGGCTTCCTTCGCAAGGCGGGTCGTGGATGGATGTGAGCCTGGTAAGGCTGCTTAGAGGGCGGTCACCTCCGGTTTGAGGTGCGTCGACTTTGAATGCAGGGGCGGTCCTTGAGCCCAAGGGTTGTGAGATGTTTGTAAAGCAATGATGATTTACCGCTGCGTTTGTAAAGCAAAAGGTATCCTCGTATTGTACTGGTTGTGTGAGCTCCTTTGTGGGGGAGATGATGTGGGTTTGAAACCCACCTATGATGTTTTGCTCTCTGGGCGCTCCTTGAAGTGTCAAGGGTACCTCCGAAAATTTCTATCACCCCTTCCGGGAGGGAGGCATACCACATCCGAAAATGACCGCTGAAGGTAACGGGAAACGCTCGGCACAAGACGGAGTCCGAGGCGTTGATGCACTGCACCTTTGACATGAACGCGCAAAGGTGGTCCGCGGGATCTGAGGTCCCATTGTACGCGGGTAGTCCGAGGGAGGAGGAGTTTGGCGGTGATGGGGTCTTGAACAGCTCCTCGGAGAGCGGGTTTTTGAAGAACATTGGGACTCTTGTGCTTCCCGTAAGTCGACCGTAAATGTTTTTCAAGGATGCCTAGATCTGCACCTCTTCTCGCGTCCTTCCCCTCGACCCTTCAGGAGGGTTTTCCCTCGTTTTCGGTAGTTAGAGGATTCGCGACAGGCTGTCTTGCATGTTCGCGATTTGCAAGTCATGACCTTCGACTATCTCTTCAAACTCCGATTCGTCTTCGACTCTCGGCGATAGACCCCGGAGGGTGTTGTTCTGGGTCGTTCCCTTGAGAGGAGCTTCGAAGCCGTCTCCCATTTTTTCCGGTGACGAAGTCGTGAGGCCCCACGGTGGGCGCCAAAATGTTTATGCCTGGAATGTACCGGGCGGTTTGCGAGGCCTCACAGTCTTCGTGCGGTCTTGGGAGGATGAGAGGCGACCTTCGAAGTCCTGCAACAAAGGTCCTCAGGGGAGCCCTGGGACCTCCTCCGATGCCTAAGTTAGTGAGAGAAGTGGATATAATGAATAAGAGAGAGAATGGAGTAGATAGAAGTTACCCCAAATGTGTCCCATGAGTGGGTATTTATACTAGTGGATGTCGGAGTGAGGATAATTAATGCCCTGTCGGGCGTCCAAGGTCGCATAAGGACCTGTTCTCAGGAGGCTGTCAGGATCGTACCTTTGTCAGCCTTCGTACTGAGGTGTCAGACGAACTTTGTTCCCGAGTGTCGGGCGGTTACCCAGGGACCCGATCAGACGATGTCAGGCGGTTCTTCCTGGTCAGAGGCGCGGAAGACCGCCTTTGGACCACTGTCCGATGTATTTTCGGGCCCATCTGGGTTGGGCTTGCTCGCCTTTCTGGGCCTCTTGGTGTTTATGGGCTTGGTGGCCCATGTGTCTTAATGATTGGCCCAACACCACTAAACACCATTTGGATGAGTCGAGGTTCTCTGATCTTGATCTTAATCTTAATCTTAATAAATATGTAAGCATTTTAAGCCACGTGATCCCAAGTGAAAGAAGAGGGTGTCCACGTCACTATCTATCCTTTTCCTTCTTCGGCCCTTTCTCTTATTTATTTGTTTTCACCGCAGGTGGCGGCTGTCCATCCACGGAAAGAAACTACCTCACTTCTTCCATCTTCTCCTTAATTGCCTTTTCCGCTGCAGAGACTGTCTTCCTTCTTCCTATCTTCTCCTAAATATTCGTCCATTGCCAACTCTTCGCTTTCTCTTCCTCAATCCACCCTTATGACGGCTCATATCCAGGCCGACCATGGAAACGAAGCGGGCAACTCTCGGCGACTCTGGACATAAAAAGAATTTGATGATGGAGATAAAAGTTACGGCAGCAGCGACATGGTGCTATAGAGGATTAGAGGGGAATGATTGGTTTTTGTATATGCCGAAACTTTTACTTTGACAGGTACCTTTATTCTTTTCATTTAAATTAGTTATCATAAAAAATAAACACTGGGGTTTAATTTTTATAGTGATCCTGGTATGAAGTGTTGTTTTGGTTTATTGCACCGATAATTAATAATATTCCATCGGATGTGTTTAGTTTTTATAAGGATCATACATCTTAGTAATTGTGATTGAAACTTAGTACTTGATATTCAACCTTGATGTATCATGTACAAGATGTTAACTTTGCGTATGTTAATTGGCAAATTTAAACGTAAATTCGTAGAATGAGATTTTGTGAACCTGCTTGGAAGGCATGCATAAAATTAGGGAGAATTAAACAATTATATGTACATGTGATAAATGTAGTAAATGTTTTTAACATGTGCATATGATGGAATTCACGATAGGCCAATAATATATTCGTTAATTGGTGATTAGTTGTTTTAGAAATATGTATAATTTAAGTCATGATTGAATTTTGACTGTTAGTTTAAACTCGACGGCCATAAAAAAACCCATAAAAGCAAAATTACAATTAGGTCGCTCATCAAAAGCCCAACAAAGGTGATACACAAAACTGGAACCCAAATCCCAATAGAGGAAAAGCAACACCTGGCATTCCTACCCTTATGCAAACTACAATTCTTTCTCTCTCTTCTCTTACCTAAAGAATCCCTAATATCCCAGAGACATCCTTTTCCCAAAGGCCCCTAAGCCTTCCTTTTTCTTTTGGATGGGTGTAAATACCCACACCACTCGGAATGCCAACAACGCAAAATCACCCGACCAAATCAAAAAACCCCACTAAAAAGTGTTACTTGAGCAAACTCCCAAACCTCAACTGCTTCCATTCGAGGACGTCCCTGTCGTTCTCGTCGCAGGCTGCTTCGCTACATAAATCTGCTTCATCTTCGAAGGAGGATAGTTCTTCTCCGTACCAAGAGATTGATTATTCCTTCCTTGGTATCCGGTTCTTCGGTGATGAGACCATTCACCCCCGGAACTACTCTTCTGAGAAACTCCGCCGCCCCTCTGATAGTTGTTATACCCAGATGAGCCGCCGCCACCATACGATGTGTTCTTCTGATGAGGCTGTTGGGGCTTCAAGTTTGGCCCAACGCTGGTGGTGGTATTATTACAGCTGCCATTCTGAACATCGTCCTTCTTCCCGCTATCTGCCGAGCTCTTGGGGACAGTTGCCTGTGTTGAAGAATTGCCAGCACTTGTCCCGAGCTCTTCTGGCAGCCGTGTGATAGTTGCAGAATCAGTCGAGTTTCTGGCATTGTCTGATGATGACTGCTGTTGCTGACGCGATTCGCTGAATCTGTTGCCGGCCAGTGATTGGTCTACTGCAGGTCCATGGGAAAACTGAGACGGAAGAACACCTTCTGTCTGTGATTGCTGCAATGGCATTGATACTGTAGCAGACTGAAGAGTTGATGATACTGGAATATGGGACCAACGAGCCTGGCCTGACATATCAGGTGATGACTGGCAAAAACAAATCAGGATGTCAGAAGCCTAAATACAGACTATAATCACGACTCATGCCAAACAGCCTGTTAACCGGGGGGAGGGGGGTAGCAGCCATTAGTTCTGCAGTTCAAAGGTTTTTGGTGCGGAAATTTAAATTCTACCTGGAAAGGAGAAACGTCAAACAAGGCCAATGGGGAACCCATGGGCAGAAGAGGGGCGCCAGGGGCAAGATGCTGGATGGTAGGAGGCATGTTGTTGCTGGGATTCCGCTGTGCCGAGACAGCAGCATTTAAGTTATTCATGTCGACTGCTTCACCGACTCCCATTGGAGAAGAAACCGGATTATGTTTCCAATCAGGTTGCTTCCCAGATGGAATATATGTAGTCCCCATAAAACTCAACCCGACTTGCCCAAACTGCCCAACTGGAGCGAAGTGATTGTAGACAACCATGTGTGATGCGCCCTGAACGCCCGGAATGCTCCCCGGGGGAGGAGTCATGAACGGGCCAGTGAAACCTGGATGGGGGCCATAGAATGAATCCACACCAGAGTGATGTTGCCATGTCCCAACTGGACCACAAACCGACACATTATTACTCTTCTGGGACTGCTGCGAGTGAGGAGATGCAGATTCGTCGTGCGGACCAAATGCAAAGATTGGCCCACCCAACATGGGATGATTCATCTCATAGAACGGGAAGTGATGAGGCCCACCAGGAACATGGGAAAGTAACTGACTTGAGGATGCATTGTGTGGGCTTGGTAGAGTTGGCCATAATGATATTGGAGGGTTTTCAACAGATAGATCTGCTGGAAGAGCCACACTAAGAGAATCCTCAGCTCTTGACTGACTTGTGGATGGCTGATCACTAGGTACACCTGCCAACAAACAGTAAAAAGAAAAAAATAAAAACCAGAGAAAGTTGCAGGCCTTAAAGCATCATGAATGTAGATAGGGTAAGGCGGAAAATATTCTACTAGCTGCAGTACCAGTTAGATCAACACCACCATAACCCTTGGAGTCTGTGGCAGATCCAGGTCCTGGCCCTAACCCACTCCCAACTGTCTCATCATTGCTTATGGCTGCAACTGCAACAGCTGAAGCAGCTGCCTCTGCTTCTGCTTCGCACTCATCCAATCGAGCACAGGTCTCGCTGGAAGAATGTTTTTCTTTTTCAAAGAACAGAGAGCAGTTGTTTTCTCCAGCAGACAGGTTGTGAGAAAGCTGGATGTCAGATAGAGATGGCACAGGAGGGAGAATACCACGGCTACTTGGAGGTAGAACTGTCGGCGATGTAACTGCACCTGTACAATTAAGGGAAAATTTTGAATTTTCTAAATAAGTTCTTGGGCAAGTTTGATTGGGCTTAAGAAAAGAAACTTCAAAATAAGAAGACTGAAAAGCTCAGACAAAACTTTGTCAATCTAACTTATTAGAAGAACTATTCAACTCAGACCCAACAAATATTTATACATAGAAGTCTCCTCACAAATAAAAACTAATTTTCTAATTTGCCCACCCATAAACCAAACCGCTTTACTTTTAATTTACTAAAACTTCAGAAAAATTTATCAGCTTTTAGCATAAGTGGAAACATGACACAGACAATATTAAGAACGCTATAGGAAAGTAGAAAGTTGACGTGAAGTGCAATGGCTCACCAAATTGAATTTTCTCCCCAGCAAGCAACGAGTTGATGGGGCTGGCAGCAGAAGAAGAAGGAAATGGTTTTTCTTTGCTCAAGATTGATGATGGCGCCAAGCTGGGTTCATTTGGTGCACTAGAAGGATCGCCGACGGAAGGGACAGAATCAAACTGTCCAGGCTTCATAGCTTCATCAAATTGAGTTTGAGTTAAGGTCATAACCTACAAGGCAATTAGGCAAAGTAACTTAGCACCTAACTCTTGGACATATTAAACAAATAAGAGATAAAAACAGAAATTAAAACAACTAAAATGGATATTATGACGCTTTCCATGGAAATAACATGGTAAGAAGGCCAAGCAAAAAATTTAAATGCCTTAAATGGAATAGGAATTCTTGTTCTGCCAAGTGAAGTACTAACAGGACATAACCAGTTAGCAAAACAGAATTCATGTTTCTAGAATATTAAGATAGTAAAAAAAACTATAATGATCCAAAGCATAAACTACAATTTAAATCACAGTCACTCAGGGGCGAAGAAAGGGTGTGAATGTCAGGGGTGCTTACTGAGGGTGGTAAGACATCAGCAGAACTACAATTACATGTTCTCTATTGAAATTACAAATGATGTACTCGTCAACTTATTGCTTTAACAAACAAACGGTGCAAAAAAAAAAAAATAAATAATAACATGCCTGCTGATTATGAAGTCGTGGATTGCCCCAAGAGCCCAAAGATGCCTGTCCATTATCTAGAACCTTGCCATTTCCATCAAACATTATGCCAGAGGCTAGATTCTTTCCATTATCTGCCACAACAGGTACATTACTCACCTGAGCGGACCTGCACCCAAAAAATATATGTTAGATGTACATGTCCAAGTATCCTTTCTTGACACGAGAAATTTCTTTAAACCATACTTAGTAAGGAAAATTTTTAGAGACAAAACAAGTTGAAGACGCATACTTGATCGTCTGAGCCTTAACATCTGCTGGAGCATCATTTTTCAGTGAAGGAGTACCAATTGGAGGTAATTGCTGAGACACCACAGGGGTTATGAACCCTGCTGAAATTTCAACATTTGCCAGTGCATTTCCTTGCTTCAGAGCACCTGAACGTTTGATGTTTGATGTTTCTCCAGCAACCGAAACTTTGTTTGAGGAGGCAGGACCAAAATTATTTCGTGAAGTAGAACGATCTTTCCTTTGCATCTGAACATGAGCCAAAAAAAAATTGAAGCCAAAATAAATCAATCATACAAGAAACCAAGGAAAGGAAGGATAGCACAGAATAATACCTTGGAAACACGAGATTTGGCCTTAATTTCCTTTTCTCTCTGCTCACGACGATCATTCAACATTTGCCTTTTTGACCTCACCTCAATGAAGTCATCATCATCACTCGGAGCTTCTATGCCAGGTTGCTCAAAAACACGCACTACTCCACTCTGTAAAGAAGAATCAACATCTTCTCCAGAATGCACAATGTTCCGACTCTTTCTAAGAGGCTCTTTTCCACTGGCAGCCTTCCCCACCCTGTTTCCAGAATCAACTTCTCGTGTGCTAACAGGCCGAGAAGTGAAGCCTTCTGAATCAAATGACTGTTTTGGTTGTCTATTTGAGACAAACACCCTCCTGGAACCACCTCTTGCTCCACCTCCCCTACCAATGATGTTAGACCTGTCATCTTGCACTGAGACAACCCCAAAGGATTGTCTCTTATCAAAATTTTCCCGGACTCGAAATTCAGTTCTCTGGCGACGGGGTCTTCTCTGGAAACCCACACTAGCGTCCATACGAGAAGCTTCAGGAGTTTGAAATGATCTTGGACCGGAATTTTTCATTTGGAAGATGTATCTTTTCCCTCTCCCACTTGATGTACCAACCCCTGCGCCCCTTGACATACTGGGTTGATCTTTTTCCTTTGAAACTGACTGAGAGGGCACAGTTCTATATTGTGATTCGTTTTTCACAAATGAATCTTCGAATTGCAAAGATGGCTCGGGCCTTGGAAATATGTCAATAGAGCGGGAAGGACCTCCACAGCTCTGCTGTACATTACCAACATTGTTACCGTTATCTTTCGACAAAATGCCTTGCGACAAGTTCGATTGCCTCGGTAGGATGCCTGGTTTGTTATCAATTGATATAGGCATAGCCTCGCTTTTAACAAAGCTCTGAGCAGAAACATCTTGACCAGGTTGCAGAGGTAAAGAACCTACCATGTTTTGATTCAAACGAAAATTGGCAGGAACAGTTGGTTGAATGAAGGGCAAGGATTGTGGACCCAACGGTAAAATCCCCTGGGACATAGGGGACGTATACCTCAGTTGGCCAAACTGAAAGAGGGGAGCTTGTGATGGGTGCATATGACTCAGAGATGCACCTACTGGGGGATGCAGATGAAGAGGCATCTGAATGGAGCCAATTTGTATAGCTGGGATTGGTGATGGTATAAGAGATGGACCTGAAAACAGACCAAACTGAAGCTTCACTGGCACCTCAGGCTGAGTTGAAACAGGAGGAACGGAGGATGTCGAAGTCTGAGCGGCGGAGTACAGGACCTGGGACAGGGTGGATAAACCAGCACTACCAGAAGGATCCAGCTGGTTAACAAGCTCTGGAGCTGCTGACTCGGGAGAATTTGTCGGTTGAATAGTTAAATCTTGCAATCCCTTTTCAGTCTCCTGGAAGATTCTGGAAGAACAGTCAGCATTAGTATGAGTACTATCTACAGGTTGAGTGCTCTGTCCACCACAGCTTGTTCCGTCGAAGGAATCCTGGCCATTGGTACTTTCAACAGGAACCTGAGGTAACAGAAACCTACTTTCATCATTTCCTGAGCTTCTTTCCAGCTCATCATCTGGCAACTTGACCTCTACCCCCTCATTGAAACCTAACACTAAGTTTTCTACCATATCAATAGAATCTTTCTCCTCCATATGCAAACCTTCAAACTCTTGAGTAAAGTTGATATTGTCCTCTTCTACCTCATGCACTTCATCTTCCTCACCATAACCATCTTCTTCATCATATTCTTCTTGTTCTTGTAGCTGGTCATTATTGTCCATTGCCCATTCTTCGTCATCTCCAGTGGACATGATGGCCATGCCACCTATCGCGTTATCTTTCTCAACATCAGTAGGCAAGGCTCCAGATTCATTCATATGTCTCAACAAAGCTTCATCTTTCGCTTTACCAGTAGATACAGGAGATCCAAGGGAATCATCCAGCTCATCATGAGAGAGTTGGACTGGAGAATCAGGAGGGCTGGAAACAGACAATGAAGACTGTGACTCGCATCTCTCTGTACTTCTGTCAAGTTTTGCAACCTCATTCACCTGTGTATCTTGCAGAGTATCAAATGCTTCAGCTCCACTGAGATTGTCTGTGTAACTGTTGCCATATCTTGGTTGCACGGTAACTTCATCTCTAGCACCTTGACTGTACTGTCTCTCACTTCCCACAAAAGAAGAAGTACCGGAATGTTCATTGACCCCCCTGTAATCACTTCTCTGCATTGAACTAATAGATGGAGGTGGTAACACCCGAGGCTGCCTCATAGAGTACCTTGGCCTAGCAAATGGATAAAGGCCATCCGACTCCGGGTTTTGGTAAACTCGCTCATGGTATGGAGGATAAAAATTACCACGAGGTCGACCATATCCCCAGCTCGCATCACCGAATCTCTCCACAAAGTTCTCACTGAACTCAGGTTCAATGTCTAAGTTTCTGCTATACGGATCTCCTTCACCAGATGTATTCCATCTTGGACCTTTAAATTGACCAAAATCATCAGTTGGAGGGTCAAGGATCCCTCCCCTAGGGTAAGCCCTTGAGGGCACTAAACCAGGTCCACCATAGAATTCCCTTTTAGGAAAACCTCTACCTCCAGAAATATCTCGCCTAGGACTATGATGATTTTCATGGTCCTGTGGAACAAAGGCTGAGGTGTTACCACTGTCAAATGGATCTCTCTTCCATGGATTCACAGGCTTCCCTCTGTCCATAAATACGGAAGAGCTTTCTCTAGAAAAGTAAGGCCTCGAACCGAAATCAAATGGCCTATTCATTCCTGGCATATCAGAGGAAGCAGATGTTGTGATCCTGTCCACCATTCTTTCGCCTTCTTCCCAGTCACCCATGTCTCCTAACTTGGAAGCACATGTTTCATCCCCAATCTCCGTTGTGTTTTGATCAACAACACCCGAAGAATTACCATTCCCACCTTTTGCCCCTTCGGCATTCCTCCTAGCCATCCTTTCCTCCAGTTCCAGAAGCTTCTGCTTTGCAGCTTGTGCCCTCCTCTCCTCTTCCAGAAGAAACCTCCGCTTCTCCTCCTCTCTAGCTATCCTCTGTTCTTCTGCCCTTCGAACAGCTTCCACCCGCTCGTTTTCCACCCTCCATGCAGCTTCTCTTGCTTCTTCTTCCAACCGCTTCTGTTGTTCTTCCTGTTCTCTGGCTATCTGTATCCTTTCCTCTTCTTCTCTGCGTGCTAGCTCCATAGCCCTTTCCTGTTCTTCAATTATCCGCTGACGCTCCTGTTCCTGCATCTTCTGAACCCTTTCAAGTTCAGCCTCAAAAGATTCTCTAACAGGATCATGAAAATCCGTCTGTTTAACCACATCCTTCCTCTTCTTTACCAGCCCTACAAGAGCACCAGAAAGTGGATCACGTCCATCAAAACCCACCCCATAATCCTTCATGAAAGGATCCTCTAGATAAGGCTTCTCACTTTTTGCAAACGACCGTTTCTCCCTTCCGAAATTCAATATGGGATCATTAACAGAAGTTCCTTTAGCACCAGAAGAGAATGACGATTTCTGTGTGGAACTATTGCGATGTGAGTCATCTCTGTATCGGTTGTGCTGCTCATTTACTGGTCGGTCTCGATGCATCCACTCAGGCCCTCGACTTCCAGCTGAATCAGATGAATTGCTCCACGGTACTCTTGCTCCCTGCCCATATCCCACATCCTTCCTTCCAATATCAGCATAGGAATGCGAGGACACATGCTTGTTGTCCCTAGTAGTGTCTCTGTTCGGAGTAGACATTTTACCACCAAAATTAGTATTTTTATTGTTGCCACGCTCAAATCCAGCATATCCATCCTTTGAAAGAGATGAGGAAGATCTCCATGAGTTCCCTTCTCGTCCCTCTCTGCTCGAGGATCTCAGATCACTGCTGGGAACATCTACCTTTGTGACTTCACTGGACAAGATTTTGCCAGTTTCATTGTCATGTGGTATCCTTCTGTCGAAGTTATTATTATGTGCTGCTTTCTGGGGTAGGACACTAGGCCTTGGGAAATCAAAATCCCTATCCCAGTAAACTTCACCCTTAGGAAACCCGTGATCCCTGCCCCTCTCAGTCAACACATGCCCTGTATCACGCTCATCATCTGCCCAATCTGATCTGGGATTCAACCGAACTAATGGCAAGGGGCCGGGGAAGTAATCCTCCTGCTTTCGGTCTTTCCCAGAAACAACTGAACCACTGAAACTGCGATTCGGACCATCAGTTTCTCCAAGCCCACTGCTGGCATTTCTAGACTGAAATTGTGGGCGCATGTTGACACGGCCGCTCGTAACAGAACTGTCCACTTCTCCATCACCAGTTGCCTCGCCCTGCATCTGTTTTTGTTTCTGACTAAAGCCATCCTTATGCTTCTTTTCAAGACCTGTATTGATAGGCAATGCTGCTTGTAAAGAAGGAAAATCCTCACCTCTCAACACTGACACTTTTTCAGCTACAGCATAACCTTGAGAAGAAGGAGCAGATGCTGCTGAAACCATTGGGCGTGCAGAAGGGGGAGTGTATACACGGGCCTTGCTCAACCCATTAACTGCCTCACTTGATCCTCGATCAATAACAAAGTTCTGCACTACATTATTATCAGCTGAACTATCCCCGACGCCAGCACCCGTTCCTTCTTTCTCTGGCTGACTAGCTGCAGGCTTGGTCCATCCAATTCCAGAAGAGCTAGGCCGGGGACCAATCCCAGAGCCAGTGCCAGCATGCCCTCCGACCACCCCTGCGGAATCAAACTTCTCGTGTTCCTTCCTGAGTGAGGGCAGATTCAAGGGGGGTGGAACAGAAAGCTTCGGCGCAGCAGCCTTTTGTGAGCTACGAGGGCGAGAGAGCACAACCATCCCTCCTCCTCCCCCTCCTCCTCCTCCTCCATGCCTAGCCCGATTGGCCCCGTAAGAAGAGCTTGAATGATACTGGTTACCGTGGTGGTACTGCTGCTGTCCATACGACTTGTTCAGATTAACAGACACAAATTTGGAAGTCCCGACTCCGGGATTGGCCATCTCAGGGTCCGACCAAGACTATTCAGCAGCACGGCGGATTCAGATCCCCGCCCACGCATCAAATAACAAACCACCACTAACCTTAAACAAATTCACACACGAGAGAAGAAACACTGTCCCTTCCTTCCCTCTGTTATAGCTCTCCAGAGATCAAAGTGCTGAATCCCGAGTAGGGCCTCCTTCTAACCCTGATCAAATCACCCACAAACGAAAGAACCCTCATTAACAACAACAAAACAAATACACACTCTGAAGGCAACACTTCTAACTCGACAACGAATAGAATTCGAATCGGGGTTCAAATTAGGGTTTGGCGGAGAGAAGTGTACATCTCGCCGTGGATGGAATGATCAGGAATGGGGGGGGAGGTGTACGGTAAAGAAAGAGAGCTTACCTCCGGGAGCGTGTGATACAGACGGCGATGGCTAAGGCGCGCCGCGGAGAAAGGAGTACGAAGAGGAAGGACGTCTGATAGAGAAGACGAAGAAGAAGAAGCCCTACTGAGGTCCCTCAAACCAAACAAAAAAAAAATGACCAGAGAGAGAAGCCACCAGATCGAAAACGTCACGAGACGAAAACGAGGCCTCTTTCTGTTTTATTTTATTTTATTTATTTATTTAATTTCTTTGGCCTTCTGTTTCGGTTGCTTATTTTCTCTTTTAGCTTTGGTTCTTGTCTTCTTGTTTTTTGATCCCTTTATTTACGTCTATTTCCGTTTGTCGCCCGCATTTATTCCGTTAATTTGACGTTATTTTATTTACGTCTGTGGGCTGTGGCTTTCATTTCAGTTATGCCATTGTCACGACGTCACCGCCCGATATAGCAAACGTTCCAAAAACGACGGCTACCCTCAACTGGGGCCCATCTCCAGGAGGTGAGAATTTTTCGGGGACCATATTGTAAAATGTGTGTGACTATGGAAATTTTTAGTTTACGTTGTTGTTGTTGGGACAATTAAGCAAACACTATAAAATTTGGTTCACATTAATTATTATCATAAACTTGTTTCTAACATTTTATCTACTAACTATTTAGTATTTTCCCAACTAATCCTAATTGGAGTGAACTAAAGCACAATAAAGTTAAAACCATAACACCATGAAGATGAAAAAAGATAAATACGTTTAGTTGATAATTATGAGAAATTAATTAAGTTAACCAATGATTTTATGTCGGCTTCTTGTTGGCCGGTTCAACCGGTACCTTTCATCAAACCATCTCGAGAGGAGCTGGTATTTAGCTTTGGCCAATATCAATCAGATCTGGTCAAATCGGGGAATTCCAACTGGGTAGACCAAAAACAGAAATTAAGTGAAATGACACATGATATCGAAAGGACCAAAAATAATCTCAATGGTTTAAATAAGCTCGTCAGATTCAACAATTTTGTGCGGAAGTCTATAAAATACGTTGGGGTCGATTGCTTTTAAGATGGGCTTCAGATTTTTTTCAGAAACCAAAAGCTGGCAGTAAAGCCCACCAGAAAGTATGATCTAGTGCCCTTGGGCCTTAATGGCCCCCCTCATTTTAACTCCTCCTTCCCCTCCCTTTCCGTCACCGTCAAACACTTAACATCACATCCCGACAGACATATCTAAAATTCCTTCACAATGCTCTGTTCAGTCTGTTGTTTATACTGCAAAGTACGATTCTGGTTTACCACGTACCTTATAATATCTAACATTATAACATTTATGAAATGTAATCAATTAATCGTCATGATTTAACCTTGACGATTTACAACTTTGCAGCGTATTTCCCCCCGATCCATGTCTCTTTTGTTACGGTCCAACACTCCACTATGATCAACTCATCGTCACCTATCAACCAGTACGACCTGACCCGACCCATTTGTCACCTGCATATACAAATACTACTGGTTATAGATCAACAAAACACAACCACTGTAATGCTTTGTGCATACATTATACATGGATTTTACCAAACCTTAAACTTGGGAATGAAGAACAAGATCTTAACGGTTAATCAAGTTGCTCTATCCAATTCGTTTTTCTTTAGCTCAATCCTTTCTTATTTCTGTTTATCTGTGATACGATATATATCAGATACCCATTGCACCCAAATCAGGTGCAGAGTCTTACCAAATCCAGGGGTCAGTAGAAGGTTTGCCAACTAATTGTCTCGGTTTTAAAATTGGAATCTAGAAGCCCATTTGGAAGTCTACCCTTGAAGTAGAATCAAAGGCAACCACTGGACCTAGCTAATGTGCACCAGATCAAGGATTCTTGTTCATCTCTCTGGCTCTCACCATTTGCATGTGTGCCAGTGGAAGGACCAACCAACAAAAATTACAAAACCTAACACACAGAAAAGCTATCTAAACAAAACTTGATCTAATAGTACTATCACTTAATCTTGAAATCTATTCGAATATTTTAAATAAGTACTAACCATGAAAACAAATTTATATCATTCTTCTAAAAGCAGAATACGTAGCTAAGCTAACCAATTGTGTTACTTCTGTAAGTAGGGAGAAGACAGCTATAGCTTTATGTAGGGCTCGCACAGACCAATACACAGAACAATATAAGGACCTAGTCTTGTTCGAGTGAAGCTTAACCGTATTTAACTGGTAGTCAATGATATATCTAAATGATCATACAGCAGTCCAAAGAGATCAGGGAATTCAGGATCTTGGAAATGACAAACGTAAATCTTGCGGAAACGAAAGAATGTGCATGTGCTTTGCTCGAACCAGACTTAAACCCATGATTTCAGGCGATATATTATCACCCCTATTATATGGTGGGTCGACTCTGTGATATGCATACTCTTCCAGCTAGCTAGGACTTTGAATCTTGTGATATATGTGCTGTGTGTATTAATTTAAAACACTATGCGTGAAACGAAGAACCAAAATGGGGGAAGCAAGAAGGCCAAACATAGGAATCGATTGAGTTTGAGCCAATGCAAATATGTCGGTGGACTGACCTGAGAGGCAGGGGGGGAGGTAGAAGTAGAACAGAGGAAAGGGAGCTGGAGGCCTCTCTCTTTCACGTGCTGGGTTGCAGCTCAAGTAGCGTGAGTAGTACCTGGTATTTGGTAAGAAGAAGAGAAAGGCAAAGAGGTCAATATTAGTTACAGCATCGTTGAAAATTCATTACTGTGTAAAAAACCAGAAAAACATCAGGTCGGGTAACATTTCACTTTTAATTGTTGACAAAAGAGAACCAGGCATTACAATTTATTAGTGCAGTAACCCAATGTTTTATTGGGGATTGAGGGAGTACCCTCTCCTACAAAAGGGCTAGCAGTCCTTGGAAGAAAAAAATGGAACTTTTTTTTTTTTTTGGAGAAGAGGGGGGAGGAACCCTGCTCACGTGGTCCCTTCTGAAAGGTCGGTATCTGCCAGCTCATTTACCCTCTGCCCTAATTTGCACTAACAAGTCAAAGCTTGGTCAAAAACTATTACAACCCCAAAACTATGAATAGTGCCATAATCAATCCTCTTCTTTAAGGCCTGGCCACGCTCCTCCTACTGCTACAACACTATCACCCCTGCACTGGCCTGCTACCCACATCCGCTAGCTCGTTCAGCATCCTTTTTATCAGGATTAGGACTCTGCACACACTGAGCACTGTTCCACTCACTGTTGTTTTTCCCCCTGCCCTAGGAGAAAAAAAAACTTAGCTGAAAACTTGAAAAAAAGATGGAGCCTTTCTCCTTTTTTTTACCTCTTTCCCAAAGAGTCCTAACCATATATCTCTAAATACAGCAGCACTCTTGTTGCTTTCCTTGTGCCAGCCAGCAATGCTCCTGGGGAAAACTGCCCCACTCCCCTATTCATCTGCCACAGTACCCCCCGGCCCTCCTTCCCTCTTATTTTGCTTGGTAGTTGGCTTTTCTCCACATGCAAATGAAATATGTGTATGTGTGACATGAACATGGATAGCCATAAAGACAAAGACATGAAAAATGGTGGAGAAGGGGAAAAAAACCACCTACCAAACAGCCATTGACATAGGAAAAATCTTGTGCAGACAGGCCTTTCGTTATTACTGCTAAGTAAGGTACTTGGTGTTCTCATGGATTTTTCTAGCCGTTGGTTTTAAAACCACAAAACCTTACAAAGGTAGTTCCATGCTGGTTTCAATGAATAAAAATACTACTTTACTACAGTAGCTGCGATGGAATACCAGGAATATTATAAAGGGTGAGAAGAACATTTATGAACACACTGATACACGGTAATTCCGAGAACCTTCGAGGAACCTGTCCAAAATAATTTTCAATTGAAAAGCTTGGCTCCTCAAACAGAGAGTCAAATGCCTATATATACATAAAATAAAACCGTATTGCAGTATTTTATTATGATAAAGGTGTATGCATATCCAATAGCAGAAGAGTGAGGAAACAGAGTGTCTTTGAGAATGGTGCATAAATGTAGGCACAGCGGCTCTGCAATCAGCTTTCTCTTTACTTTAATCTTGAACAATACTTTTCTAATGAAAATCTTTAAATGATCCTAAGTGTCACAAACATTATAAAAAGGGGGGGAAATTAGCACAGAATCAATTATAATATGGGACAGTGTAGCTTCAAAACTGGTCATATCATTGAATGCCCAGTATTGAACATGTCATGACAAAACAACACATCATGGGCATGCATGCAAGCAAGAATTCAAAAATGGAAATTTTGGGACCAAAAAACTTTAAATAAAAAAACAATCCCACACATACATCCTAGCACTTTGTTAGCTAGCTTCCTCCCGGCCTAGATATAAATACAGACACTCCTTGGTGGGTTTGCAGCAGTGCCTGAGGCTGAGAGAGGGTCCCCTGCAGAATTTATTAGAGGCCTTCTACCCGCTTTCTTTCTTTTGTTTGTTCTGTTTTTTTGTTTGGTTTTGGTGTTATATTTCTGTTCCCCTACCGGCTATTCCCTGTTAATCTCTCTCACTCATTCTCACTCCTCCTTCCTTACTTACTCTGTTCTTCTGAGATCCTTCCATGGCATGCTTAGACATGTACAACTCCGACCAGCACAAAGGCCACCATTGCCCTGCAATGAGCCCCAGAATCTCCTTCTCCAATGACTTCGTCGATGCTCAACAGATGATGAAGCAGCAAGAAAGAAGCCCCTTATCTCATCCTCCAGCTTCATCAGACTTCGAATTCTCAGTCACGGGCTACTCCATGATGAGTGCCGACGAGCTTTTCTCCAAAGGCAGGCTGTTGCCCTTCAAGGACAACGGTGGCAGCAGCCAAATGCAGAGGACTACAATAAGGGATCAGCTCCTCGTTGATGAAGATGGTGATGTCGAAGTCTCGCCCAGGCCGCCGAGAGGGTCGTCGTCGACAAGGTGGAAAGGGCTTCTGGGTCTGAGAAGGAGCCACACAGGGTCGAAGAAAGTTGAGAGGGTTAATAGTAATGGTGGTCAGATTTCTGTTGGTGAGATGAGTAGAAGGCCTGGTAGTGGTAGTTTTGTTCATGAGCAGGATCACCAGCTAGTGCATGTTAGCAACAGAAGTTCCCAGGTTAGCAGAAATTTTACTACCCATTGATTACTCTGCTTTTATTATTCTTTTTGGTTAAATCATTATTCATTGATGGTTGGCAAATTGTTTGAATATGGTTGACAGGAGGCTTTGAGTGAAGGAGGATCAGGATGCAGGGATTTGGAGATTGGAATATAGAGAGGAAGAAGTACTACTGATAAAATTGAAGTGAGTAGTACTGTTTGGAAAGGTTGTTGGGGAAATGACAGTTTCTGTTTTCTTCTTGTTCTTTTGATTCATCTTATTGGTTTTTTGGTCGGTAGTTGGGAGAGGAGGTGGGTGGAATTTTAGTTGAGTTTTCTTTTCCATAGATCTTTAGTTTTGAAGTTGTGAGGGAGATTATGATTTATCTTTTGTATTCATCTCAGTTCTTTTTGGCTTCCCCTGTCACATGGGGAGAGCTTCCAGATCTCAGTTCTCCTAGAAGTTAGAGTCTTGCATGTTTTTCCTTTTTCTTGTACAAAAGTGATTTTTGTTAATTTGGAAGAAGCTTCCTTGCGTCTTCTAACTCTCATCCTAGTTGAGGGCTGAGTAATATAGATCTGTCTCTGTTAACTCTCACTCTAGAAAGAAACGTTTCTTCTAGCCCTCCCAAAAAAAAACCCCACTTGACAGGACAAAAAAAATTGTCAGAAACAGAAATATTGACCGTATTAAGATGGGGTTTGAATGAAGGTTTGCATTCAAATATGTAAGACATGTGAGGGACAGTTGTGGCTTGTCAGTGGCTAATTTCTCCCCTAAAGCACAAAACAACAAATGAAAATTTGTGAAGATAGGTAAGTTGGAAGATACATTTAATAGTGTGCAGAAGCATGTGGACAGCAAAAGATCTTTGATTGGCGATTGGCAGATGACATTATCAATTCAGCAGTCAAAACCCTAGTGGTGTCCTCTCATCTCTGATCTACAGGACTTGTCATTTGATCAGTTTCAGGATCTTTCGACTCTCTAATGTAAGATGGTGAACTAGTCGAATTTTGCTAAGATCCTGATTGCCCATGTTGCCATCCTAAACCATTGGATGCATGCCAGAGCGTTAAATATCTAATAGTTCAGAGTGCGAGACGCTCGACCTATGGAGTCAACACAGACATCTATACTCATCAACATACTAGCAGAGTTGGGAGTTAGTCCAGCTAGTACTGAAACCAATAGCTAACCAACTACCGGGTCCAGTCCTGAGGAACTCAAGGGCACTGTAAAGTTATTGTCTTAGAAGAACCAATAAAGACTTTTTGGGGTTGAATGCTTACCTGCTTCATTTTCTTTGTTATGACCACCACCTTTATTTTCTGTGCAAAAGCTTGCTGATAAGTCTGGCTAATCTACCGCTGAAACCAGCCCCCCTCAACAGTCAATAGGGTAGACAGAGTGGCTCCCCATCCATTATCCATCCAATCGAGAAAAAAGGGCTAATTCTGCCACAAGATAAGTGAAAGAACATTAGTCTCAGCAACCTGCCAGTCCATGAGGTAAAATAATAAATATCAAGGGCAAAGATCTCATACCTAGCCAGACTTTGCAGCCTACTGGGAGAAGTAGCCATAGGGTCCGTAGCTGCCTGCATCTCCAAAACAACAAAAACCGGCTTGTTATGTTAGCAGTATGTCGTCACATGCGAACTTGAGCAAGCTGAGAATGTAAGGAAGAGGAGAAACATGGCAATACATGGTTCTTCTTGAAATCAAGAAACAACATTACATCGTCTACAAAGATTACAACATTGCCCTGCTTACAACAGGAAGATCATTACAGTGTTCTCTCTACATTTGGAGGCATCAGGCACGTAATGTAAAAGTTGAACGATTAATTGTCTACCACATTTAAATTCGGAAACATTACAGCATGTTTATCACACTAGTCTACACTACTGTTGCTTTCCACCTCTGTTGTCCAGCAACAACATGCCATGTAGAAACCAAACACCTTAGTTTCCAAGTAAGAAAATACTCTCCAACACCATAGTGAAGGTAAGGCGACTCTCGGTGATGTTTGAATCCAAAGTAAAGTTTACCATGGAGAGAGAACCTCCCGGTTAAACTTGACCTCGTATCTTTCAGCTCTTGTTTTCAGATTCTCAACATCAGATCCATACCTTTCATGGGTTGCTTTCAGTCCTACAAGCTTTGCTTCTAGGTTTCTTATCTCATCTTCAATGTGGAGTCTCCCAGTTCTAGCTTCCACGTACCTTCTTGTTTTTGCAGCATCTTCAGAATCAAAGGCAAGGGTAACAAGGCGTGTTAGCCTAGCACGTAAAAACGCGACATTCATACCGAAAAGCTCAGACGCTTTTAATGTCTTATCCCAGGTAGCAAACTCATCTCGTGAAGTTGAAAGATCGCAACCTCTCATGGCATCAGCAATACTAATGATTTCAGAAATGACCCCAGCAACCAGCTTGAAATTGAGCCCCTTGATGAGATCTTCATGAAGGAAAGCATTTTGACCGCAACAGAGCTTGTAGTACTTTCTCCGTATGTCTTCAGTTAGTTCAGAATCTAAGACTAACCCTTCGATCACAATGCTAAATTCCTCAAAGCTCTGGATGTCTTTAAACTTAAGTCCAGGAAAGGATAATTTGAAACCTTCCAATACTTCAGAACCAACTTCTTCACTGTCGTTTTCAGATTGCTCAGCCGGCGGTTGCCCAGTGGTGTCATGGAATGATGATCTTGGCTTGCTAGTCTTCCTCTTCTTCTTTCGAAGGAAAGATGATTGAGGCGCTTTACACCGTCTTTTCTTGGCAATTTTGCTGGGTACAATGGCCATTACTGTATTTACATGACCTTTTTGTTCCATGAAATCTGCCGTAAAAAAACAATAGCATTAATCAACAGCACAGGAATTTCACTGAGAAATCTGCGGTATTATTAACTTGCCTGCGTCATTTTGTTTTATATGAGCATCCAAATTCAGTAGACCTAATGCCCCATCAACTTCAGCCAAATCATTGGCCCTTATTATGTAAACCTGCAATTGAGTAGAACAATGGTTGTAATCATAAGGCATTTGAACTTCCCCAACAAACCACGGGCGCGTAGACTCTCATCATGCTAACTATACCAATCTTATCGTATTTCTTGGCTTGAAATTGACCAACTTTCACCAGCTCACCAACCACAAAGCAGTTACCACAGTAAGCTACATCCATAACTTAATTGTAATCATCTACTTCAATTCCCATCTTCCAGTTCACTCAGCATTATAGTACACAGGTCTAGTTCCTAAACATGCAAGACAGCAGGCAACGATATAATGACCAATGATAAAGTGATCTCCTTCACAGTGTGCTTAATACCTTAAGATATATGTTATCATTTGTCCCCTCAAATGTTTCACTATGATCATAAATACAGCCCCATACAGAACTGCTTGCTCAGAGACTAATAAGATGTAGTGGATCCAGTTCCGTGACTCTCAATGGTCTCAAACATCCCGGAAGAATTTAAGGATTTACCAGGTCTATGCAACATGCCACTACAATATCAGAACACTCAGAGACAGATATCTACTATGCCGGTTAATAAAGCTATTCTGTTGCTTATATATACAAAATTTACCATCAATGGCAATCCAAACAAAGAGTGGCCAAGAAAAGAACATAGATTATGGAAAGTGAAAGGCTGCTCAGAACTCACCTTGAATCTGCAGTTTCCAACTAACTGGAACACTAAAGCATCTCCCTCGAGCAAGTTATGGGCAACACAGAACTGTCTCCAACCAGCACTCAATCCTGTCTTGTATCCAATGTACTTGATGTTGAATTCCTTCCCATCCTCATCTTCCAGAGTAACTGTAGTATCCTCACTAGGTAAGTTTGCTCTACAGAAAGGCCCAGGAAGACCCTGTCACAGAAACAATCACTCATGTCACATTGACAGACCACTGATTCTCCGACAAAACTACTAATCCAATAAGAACATCATGCTCACTGAGCATACCATCCAAAAGCAACTTCCAACATGTGATCTGACTAAAGCTTTCAGGAAGCTAGGAAATTCAGGTTCCAAATTTGATTGGATCTCTTCAGCACGAATCATAGCTGGTGACTTGACTTCCTTAGGGGTGCTCAACACATCCGTCCTAGTCCCGTGTTGCTCACAACTTCAAGAAGCATTTTCAACATTCAGTCTAATTCCAACATGTGATCTGACTAAAGCTTTTAGAAAGCATTGTTAACATAGACAAAAATGAAAAACATACTGTTTTTTCGCTCGCACTGACCTTATGCACTTCCCTGCATGACTGGACATTGCCTGCTCAACAAACAGTTCAAAGTTTCCATCGTTAGAAGAAAAGAAGAAACAACATAAGTAGATGGGAAGAAGTTCATTGTACACAATAGTAAACGGCTAACTATGTTATCATACGAGCAAGTCAGACAGCAAAGAGAGAGGACAGGAGAGATTTAAGCATGCAACAATTACTTCCACCAAACAGTAGCTGGAGCCACTCTTAAAAATGAGTTTCACTTCAGCACCCAGCTAGCTGAATATGCATAAGGAGTTGCACTCCAGGAGCTTGTTAATACAAACCATTAGATCTACCCTCGAGACTTGGATCAAACTGTTACCATCTCGAGAAACGACCTCTTGGAAAGTGCATTTTCGCCACAAAAAAACCCTATGGGTCTTCCACCAAACTACAATACGCAAGAAGGTGGAAGTGTAGCTCTCTGAAACCCTTGTCGACATCGACATTCACCAGAGCCGAGAAAGAATACCTAATGCCGTCCCGAAAAACTTACCTGACGACAAAGAAAGGGAGAAATAATGAACTCTTACATGATCAATTTTGGAATCGGAACAGGAGAGCTTGATCGTCAAGCGCCTCTGTCTCTTCTCAATCGGATTGCCCAGCTGCACCTGGCAAAAGCAAGAAGCCGCAAAAATGACGCCCAAGTCAGTTCGTACTCCAGCCGTCAAACCTCGGCAGAAAACGGGATCAAACGCCAGAATCCGGCATTTCGAGGCTCGAGCTAAACCGGATAGCAGGAAGTTCACAGTCCGACTGAAATTGGAAAGGAACTAAGAACAACAAGCACTGAGATCTGATTCCATCTGAACTTCCTCCCATTCCCTTCCCCTGCCATCGCCCGAGGTTTCCAGAGCTACCGAACTCGACAGGACGACCGGCGAGACGAAGCGAAAAAAGGAAGCAAGCGCGGGAAGTTTACCGAGAGCGGAGCAAGATCGGTGTCGGGGTTAGCGTCAGCAGCAGAATCAGGTGAGAGAGACAGTAGAGTAGCAGCGTCGTCTTCCCCGGCGGATTTCGAGTCGTCGTGCGGCATCGGAGACGCTCTGGTGGAATCTCCGTCTTCCACTTCCTTCTTCATGGTTGTTTCTCCCATGGCTTATTCGCTCCGCCGAAGTGAGACTACTTGCTGCTTCCAGGCACGAAACCCTCAGGAAAAATGCGAAACGGAAGAACGGGGGAATGGCCTTGGAGACAAAAAGCAACTCTACGCAAAACAGGAAAGGTAAGACGAGGGAAAGTCGAAAATTAAGGGGAAAAACAAAATTCGTAGTACGATATGAATTCGGCATGATGTACATGTGGGTCGGTACAATCAGTAATCATATTCAATCGGTTTTTTTTTTTTTTTTTTTATAAGCAACCTGTATTCTCAAAAATCAAATGTTGGGTGTTACAGGGCAATCAGCTAAAAGTTTAGGTATCAAAATAATTGGAGGGCGATCAAACCAAATTTCCGATTCTTCTGGTCGACACCTCACTTTCGCCATTGTGTGAGCACTTTCATTTCCCTTTCTCCCCCAAAATCTCCATCGAACATTTCCTTCCACCAGAGCTATCTCCCGAATTTCTTCACAAATTCCTTCAATCTCCCAGATCGTTGCTTCCTTTCGGTCAAGTTTCTGAATCACCGATTTACAATCCGATTCCATTACCAGTGGTAAGAAGTTGTGGGTTTTGGCGATTTTCAGTCCCCAGAGAAGAGCAAGGGCTTCCGCCATTTCAGGTGGCCACTGTGTTCGTGTTCGGTGGACCGCCGCCATTCTAAACTTCCCCTCCTCATCTCGTATCACCAGTCCATATCCAGTACCATCCTCGCCCAGCGTCGCCGCGTCTGTGTTCAATTTGAAGAATCCCTGTGGAGGAGGTTCCCAATCGTAACTAACTCGCTCCGACGAAGCTCCACCAACCTGGATCTGCAACTGCTGATATTCTTCCAGGTAATTCTGAGCTCTCTGAACTATTTCCCATTCTTCTAGCTTCGAATTGTTGAAAAGCTGGTTGTTCCGCTCTTTCCATAGGAACCATAGGGTTATCAATAGTGAAGTAAGTTCCTCTTTGCTTGTTCCTTCTATGAGATTGCATAGCCATTCTTCGCAGTTTTTCCCTTCTCCTATAGTGAAAAATTTCGCCAGCGGGCTAGGTCTCCACACCCTTCTCGCCCAGTCGCAATCCCTAGTGATATGCTCTTGTGTTTCTCTTAACCCACAGAATGGGCATTCGTCATGAGCATCAGGGATTCTTCTGCTTAAATTAGCTCCTGTGGGTAAGATATTACTACCCCATTTCAAAATGAAGATGCGGACCTTAGGGGGTAGGTCTAGCAACCACAGTTGCTTCCAGTCTATTGGCACATAGAGCTCACCCTGATCCTCAAACTTCTTCTTCCTCCACTCTTTATATCCTGATCGAACTGAGTACTTTCCTGTTCTGTCTTTACCCCAAACTCGTATGTCTTGCCTGGATTGAAAAGGGATTGGGATTTTGTTGATTCGGTCTCGATCTTCTTGAAGGAAATTTTCTTGCAGTAGGCTGCTTTTCCAAGATCTCGTTTCCTGATCAATCAATCTCGATACCTTTTCAGTGATACCAAGGCCTGTAATGGGTGTTTGTACTCGATAATCCGGCGCTGTTGGAACCCAACGATCCCACCATATCCTAACATTCTCCCCGTTTCCAATTCTCCACCTTGTGCCTTCCTTGATGAGTGTTTGTGCTTGCATTAGACTTCTCCAGATGTAGCTGGGATTATTCCCCATTTCTGCCTCCAAAATATCACAATGCGGATAGTATTTTGCTTTAAGAAATCGTGCCGCCATGGCATTTGGGGCTTGCATTAAATTCCATACCTGTCGACCCAGTAAGGCTATGTTAAATCCATGTAGGTCTCGAAACCCCATCCCTCCTTCATATTTAGGTCGACATAGTTTATCCCAACTCATCCAGTGAATCCGCTTTTCTTCTCTTTTTTGGCCCCACCAAAAGCTAGCAATCATGCTCTGTATCTCATGTATAACCCCCAATGGTATGAGAAATACAGACATAGCATAGAGTGTCTGTGCTTGTGCCACCGCCTTTATGAGAACCTCTTTTGCCGCATTAGATAAGAGCTTCCCCTTCCACATTTTGATTTTTTGCCTGACTCTATCAATTAGCTGTGAAAAGACAGCCTTCTTAGCTCTCCCTATAACTGTAGGCAAACCCAAATATTTGTCATGATGCATCACTGTCCTCATTCCCATTATTTCCGCCATTTCCTCTCGGCTTTCATCACACACATTTGTACTAAAGGATAATTCCGATTTGGCCAAGCTGACCTGCTGCCCAGAAGCATTCTCATAGGACTGTAGTATTCTCCTTAGCTTCTCCCCCTGTTCTCTCTTGTTTTCAAAGAAGAAGATACTATCATCCGCAAAAAATAGGTGTGTGATGATTTCAGTCTGGTGCCCGTTTACTAGTGCTGAGTAACTCACAGTAGTGACACACTGCATGATCAGATGAACCCAGTCTTCATGAAATCCCATTTTGAGCATAATTCTCTCTAGGAACAGCCACTCCACCCTATCATACGCTTTAGCTATATCTAGCTTTGCAGCCACATAGCCTTTTTTCCCTTGTTTTCTGTTCTTCATAGCATGAAAGCATTCAAATCCAACCATTATATTATCTGTAATGTTCCTACCTGGGACAAAGGCACTCTGATTTTCTGTGATAACCAGATCCAGGATCCTCTTCAATCTGTTAGCCAACACTTTCGCTAGGATTTTATAGAGTACCTTGCAAAGTGCTATTGGCCTGAATTCCTTTGGAGATTTTGGTTCCTTGGTCTTTGGTATGAGGGCTAGTAGTGTATGATTTAGGCTGGGGGGAATTTGCCCTGTTAATAGTATCCTTTGAAGCTCCATACATACAGTATCTCCCACTACAGGCCAGTTCTTTTGGAAGAATAAAGCTGGCATCCCGTCTGCCCCAGGGGCTTTAGTAGGCGCCATCATCTTAAGAGCTTCCCAAATCTCCTCTCTGCAAAAAGGTGCCAGTAGTTGCTGGTTCATTTGTGGTGTCACTCTATGTTCCACAGCCTCGATGACTTCCTCCATATGTAGTAATTGGCCAGCTTTGTACAGGACCCTAAGGTACTGTGACATACATCCCATGATCTCCTCTTGACCCTTAAATTCGTGGCCATCTTCATTAGTCAGCATCTTTATTGTATTTCTTCTTTTTCTATTAGATGCCTTGCGGTGAAAGAATCCAGAGTTCTTATCACCCTCCTTTAGCCAGTCGTTTCTGGAACGTTGTTTCCACTTAATCTCTTCTTGGAACAGGATCTCGTGTAGCTCCTTTTCAAGAGCTCTTCGTTGTAAGATAATTGCCCTGTTTTTCCTCTGTTTAGCTATTTTTTCCAACGCTTTCTCAATTCTCTTTCTCCTGGCCTTTAGGCTGCCGAACGTTTTTTTGCTCCAAGCCAACAGAGCTGTTTCGCAAGCCTTTATGCGATCCTCTAGTGGCTTATCTGGATCTTTACACCATTCAGATTTGATAACCTCAGGGCACTCTTCATGGTTTTGCCAATATGCCTCAAATTTAAAGTGCCATCCCCATCTCATCTTTTCTTCTTGGAAGTTCAGTTCTATCCTTATGGGGAGGTGGTCAGAAGTCCATCTATTCAAATGGTACACCCGATTCTCAGGGAACCACTCCTTCCAGGCAGCATTTGCTACTGCCCTATCCAGCCTTTGTTCCAAAAACGTCTCATCTGTTCTCCCATTGTCCCATGTGAACATGTTACCATAGTAGCCCAGGTCTTCCAAATGACATTCATCTAAGGTAGCTTGAAATTCCTCCATGTTATGGATATCAGGTGGATTTGCCCCATTCTTTTCTTCATAACTTAAGACCTGGTTGAAATCCCCACATAGAATCCATGGCATATTGTACCTGTCGCTTAGTCGTCTGATAAGATCCCACGTTTGAGACTTGTTTTCCTGCTCTGGCCATCCATAGATGCCAGTTAGGCGCCACTTATCTCCCTCTGAACCCTCAGTGATCCAGACATCAATGTAATTACGCGTCAAAGCTTTGACTGTAACATTGATTTCCTCTTTCCATAGTAGCAGTAGGCCTCCTGCTCGGTCTCTAGATCCTACTCCTTTCCCTTTAGACCATCCTAGTTGTTTGATGGTATCCTCCCATTCATGTTCCTGTTTTTTAGTCTCCATGAGGAAGACTATATGGGGGTCCTGTTCGCGAAGTAGCTCAGCTACTCTTGCAACTGTCGTGGGATTCCCCAGACCACGACAGTTGTAACTGATGATATTCATTGGGCTGGGCGGCCCTGACTCTGTGCAGGGTCCGCCACTCCGCCAACCAATTGTTCAGTAATGTTTGTTCCCAATGTTTGCCTTGCCTCCTTTCCCCTTCCCTGATTTTCATCCCCAGGAGTCATGTTATCATAACCAGCACTCTCCTTGGTCTGATCCGCCCCCTGTTTCCCTTCTCCTCTTTGCTCATCCATCGTCTGCTTGGTCATGTCTGGGAATATCAAGGTTTTTGCTTTCTTCAGGTGTATGTTACCAATCTCCCCTTGTTCTCTTGTTTCCTCTTGTTGTTCCATTGCCCTCTTTTGTGGTGTGAGCTGGGTTGGGTTAGTCTCATTTGGACGCCTCTGATCTTGTCGCCTCCACACCTTCCCAAGTGGTTTGCGTTGAATCTTCTCCTTATTTTCTTTTTCAGAGAACTTCTTTACCGCCCCAATTACTACTGAAGCACTTGCTATCTTCTTCCTGGATTCCTGAAGAAGATATTCACTAGCTATTGAGAATGATATTCAATCGGTATTAGAGATAAGTAAGTTACTAAGATCATTGATATAAAGTAATAATCAAAATCGATATAAAATTATTAAAGTCGTCGAAATCGAGAAAAAAATACATAATTTTTTAGTAGAGAATGATCAATTATTTCTGTATGAACAAAGTGACATTATTTTGGTGTAATTGAAAAACAAAAAGAAAGAAATTTGTTGGATTCAAATAAAAACATTCAATGTTGATGTTAATTGTTGGATTCAAGTATAAATGTTTGAATATTAAGGTTATATGTTAGCATTTAAATGTGTTGATTTTTCACTTTGCTTATTATGTGATATGTTATTTAAATAATGATGTGAATAATAGGGAGATTGTCT